CACCTGTAAATGCTAACAGAACCTTCTGTGGGAATAGAAGTAATCATGTGGATTTGTCTCACCATATGTATCTTTGGACAGGAATTATCGTAAGTTGAGAGGTTATTTCTAAGTGGATTTCATGTATATTTGCACTGTTTGGTGTAGCGTAATAGGAGTTATATGGACTCAATGCATAAAAAATCTCAACTATATTAATATTGTGCCATTGCTTAGATGACTGCTTGGCTAGCAAACGTAGGTGGTTATCATGATTATTGCAAGTGCAGTGCCGTGGAAAAGGCAATCACTCGTTTAAATTTCCTTACTGTGCCACTTAGTGCATTAATTCAGTTTATAGTATTATTATACACATGGATTGTGTCGATTATGAGAACTGAATCTAGTCAGCTCTATTACTATCAATCTACTGTCTGTTATACCATTCTCACTGGCACTGTAAACTTAATGCTGCACTGTTTTTGATCACCAATAGTGGTGATGAATTTTTCCTGAATTTTCCGTTGACATGACAGACGCCGCATCACGAGTGAAAGTTTAGGTTGCATGTCTAGGTTGCATTGTGTCATTGTTATCCTCATCAACACAACAGGTCTGCGTATCTTACAATATTTTAAGTGTTTCTGTATGCTGCTAACACTGTGCATAGTTGCTTAGAGTTGAAGCATGTTCAGCTTATATTTGATGGCTATAGATTCCTAAATATGAGAATGTAATTTCTGTAGGATTCATAAAACTATGCTCATTAGACATTACTGAGATTATGGATCAATTTCTAAGTTACACATTTGCAATACTTCATTTAATGTAAACGTATTCAGTGTGAAGTTGATCTGCAACTAAGGTTAATGAGAGTATGACGCCTCAACAGTATGGAAGCTTCAAAGATTGTCTTGATATTTGCGTGTAATCCTTTAATACTGGAAAACACTTGAGGTCTATTGATGCTTATAGTGCCAATATAAAAACCAGCTGAAAACTACATATACATTTATTTGCATGAGATAATACTTAGTATTAACAGAATCAGTGTATTCATAGTGTGTGCTAATATGTAGAATTATCTTTCATAAATTCATGTTATGCTAGTCCTTACATGTGCTTTATTTTTTTCAGGTATACGGAAGTTGTCGAATATGAAACCAGCGGAAATATCATCCGGACAAACTAACGTCAATACTCTTCATCGGGATTTTCTTTTGTAAATTAATGAAATGTTTAATATACTCTTCAATTCTACTTCCTCTGGACTTTTTCAGTGCGTCGCTATACTATGTGCTTTTGTAATAGGTGAATTCGGATCAATGCATGTTAAGCTTAGTTAGAGGGATGGAGATTTACTATAGTATTATGAGACTGTTACTTTAGCCCTTCGTAAGATTTCGTGTCTGTTTCTATACAGTAGCACATTGTAAAAACTAAGTAAGATTTAGCAATTTAAATAATAATTCTGTACTGTTCGATATGCTAAAATCGCCTTATCTAGCCAGTTGCAATTCTGTACACTGTTAAACGCCAAGTATGAAGTACAAGTAAATTTAATGACTTAGGCTTGACAGCTACTTCACTAATCTGTTAATATGCAGTGACATCATCAAATAGACTGTTCACTTGACAGTGAGCAAAGAAACAATTTTCATCTATTTCTAATATGCCGTTGAATCATCTGATATCCATCATTTCTATAATCAACAACTGCGGTGTTTGCATATCTACTTTATGAATATTAAATAACTTACGCCTTTATGCATCTGATTACCTCCAGTATTACAACAGTATATCCTATTCATTTGATGTGTGTACGGTAAACAAGGCATTCATACATTCTCCTACAAATGCCAAGGTTTCTGGTGTCACAAGTGTTAATGAGAGTTGCTTCCTTGGTTTCAATACAAACCTTTTTTCATCTAGTAAATAAACAATCTCCTCTATCCATCTTTATATACCTTCAAGTTTTACTTTTATTATTTCTATTATATTTATGGTCCTGTTGATTCTTTGTTTTCACTTTCATAACTGCAAACACTAACTTATCTCTATGACTGCTGTAATCTTTGTTTTTTCCCTCAACATATCATGTAAAGAGAACATCATATTCAATATTTTTAATCATGCAAGGATTTGTATACCGCATCGACAATACTGTGTGAAACTAGCCCACGGCAATTTCCACTTGTATTTTTATCATTACCTTAGCTGCTATCATTATTATTATTTCCATTTTATACGCTGCATGTTTTTCATTTTTTTATATTAACCCTCTTGTAAATGTAGAAAAAATTTCTGCGTGATTACTTTTATTTATAATTTGAGGAAATTAGATGCAAAATTGTGATTAATGCTGAAAATTCCATTCTGTATCACAAGTATTGTTTTTGGAATAAAGTAAATCATTATTATTATTAAATGACGTTCTAAAATATCTCCAGTCGTTGAACCCTTCTTGTAGTTCCAGATTGTTTGCCTAGCCTTATTCTTAAAAAATGTACAGATATCCTCTCACATATTTAATGAATCTTTTTCCAGAAATGTCGTGCCAGCCGTTTGGAAGGACTTTGAAATTGTACCTGTACCTAAGTCGTCTAATGGAACATGTTTTAAATTTAGACCTATTGCTATTACCTCCCCTTTTGTAAAAGCTATGGAAAAGTTACTCTTACTTAATCTTCAACCTTCACTTAAAGCCTTTAACGATCTCAAATGATTCGCCTATAAACACAGTAGAAGTACTTTAGATGCAGCTGCAGTCTTGCATCACAACATTTTCGCCATTATAGTCGTCCAGTACCAATTGTATTTTTGTTTGACGAACTCAATGTACATACGCATACGAAATGAAATATGTCAAGTGCGCGGACTAACTATTTCAGTGTCTTTTAATTCGCATCTACACTGTACTAAGATGAACAGCTCTCTATTAGTAGTCAGAAAATGCTTTTAAACTAAATCCTTCCAAATGTCAGACTGTCAATTTCAGTTTCCCATGTAAGAGAAAGTCAGTTGAAGCTGTTAATTCCTATGACCGTTGCAAAATTTATGACAGGGATATAGAGCTCAAGTCTGACTTTAAGTATCTCGGACTAATTCATCAAACAGCGTATTAGCCTTAAATGTATATCACACGCATGCATGAGCTAGGTATGCAAACCAAGGTAAACGCTGATATAAGTATAAAACTTGGGCACTGTGGTAGAGTATAACTCCATTATGGATAAGATTTTATTTTGATAAATCAGACAGTGTTGTACAGTTATATTAACTGATGACGTTTCGAGCACAAACGCTAGCACGGTACACTCATTATTTAAAAAACTAACTCATATGTGAGAACTACGACTCGACCGGCTTTACAACGTTTAATATATTTAGACACAATAGACATACACTGCTTACTTCTATGACGCATTACCTAAAGCTACCCCCTTGCTACTACCTAAGTGAGCAACTCAACGTTATCTTTGAATTACAAAGTAAAAGCGGACATCCTGAGAGCTTTCTGGGTAAAAAGATCGTCTCCTAGTCGAGAAAATAAACATATCCTAATCTCTTCACAAAAGCGTTTAGAGGTATTTATCCTATCGCCTCAAATGACTCACTATTTGCTGTCATTTAAAAAGTGAAAATAAATTTATCGAAGGCAGTGTGCTTATGGTTTCTAGATATCATAATGCACCATGAGGAAAAAGCTTTATTCATAGGGTTATAGCAATCAGATGCGCGATATAAATCCGAAACTCAACGACTACGATTCTCAATCACAAAACATTCTACTTTGCTACCTAATCGTCTCAATAGATGCTTCGCCAAGAAAAAGAAGACCACTGGCTCAAGGAAAATTTATTTAAAGTTTCCTTATAAATCATGGGCAACCGTGTTTATAACCACGGAGAAATCACAAGCATCCGAAAAATAGGAATTTCATTATTTGAACTGAAACAAGCAATTTGTAACCAGCCATTTTTTTCACCCCGATTAATAATCAGCTTCTCAGACGGTTGTAAATTCGGAAAAACCACCGACTGTAGACCGAAATCCGAAACGTTATTCTTGCTAGTTAAATTCTTACCGAACACTCACCAGATCATCGTACGTTATCCGCTTTTCAAATGCTCTTGAAACAAATAAAATGGTTGTTAACACCGCGTTTACTACAGGCAGTCCTAGTTCGTGCGTTTGCATCTAGTACACTAGGCATTAACAATCATTTAGGGATTTCCTATTGCTTCCTAATTTTGCTTCCAAAAGTACATACAAACACCACACATTCATGCTTCACATTTGGCTCATCCTTGCTTGATTTTGATTCTCTCACAATATACCTGATTATTTAGCTGACAACAGACACCTTGTCGAAAAGCTCCAAAACTTCAAACCAGGTTCTAAATTCTCTGGGTTTAATTAGTTCTTCGAAAACTTTGCTAATATCAACCCTGATGGTGCTCTGTTCACCAGATTCATTCGTAGATTGTTGCATGCTGTAAACATGAACGTGAGAGACATTTTTTCCAGATTCCTACATATTAAGTAACCATTTCAGCCAGCAGCAATAACGGCAACCAAAAACGAACTGGAAACAATGGCTTCTGCTTCCCAAACATGTTCATGTGCATAATTTCCAAAACTTCTACACAGTACTAATTCATTAATAGCTGAAAAACAATTAAAACACTGAAACCATGCATGAATGCAACGTATGAAACTATTACAATGAAACGAATGCACTGACCTGGTGGTAAAATCTTTCGAAACAAACGAAATAACTAATTTTAACAGAAACGGAAACAATAATGAAGTGAAACGCAACATTTGTAAACAATGTGCATCAAGATACGTGGTGAATAAGTGCTGGATGAACGGAAAAATCGATGTGTAAACGAACATCTACAGAACTGCAATCCAACATGGCCGACTAACATGGATGAAAATGACCTTTGAGCGTCTCACTCCATCAATGACCTTGTACATGTCGTTTAATTTCTGCCGTCCAGCCTAGTATCATTGTGAGCTTGGCAGATTGGACAAATGTTGAGGCGGGACTTTTGTACTGTGCGTTACGGTAACACTCGCTGATCAGTTTTGGTTTGGTTCCTTGGTTTTTTCGTTTCTGTAGTTTCTAATTAATAGCTGTTTTCATTATTTTACTGTTTTTTGGTGTGTCTGTAACTATCTAACCTTCTGCAAATAGCTTTTTAAGCACAGTTATGCACATTATCATTCACTATGAACTTAACTTTTCGATGTCCATTATAGTGCGCTCCATCTGAATCGCCTCAAAGTATTATGCATTTTACACCGCTTACCCAAGTTTTGCGTTCATAGGACAATATTGTCAACCTCAATTAGATTCCCTATAAACTAGTTAAAAGCAGTAGGTCAAACCTGCAGCTTTTGGAGTTGAAGTTACATAACTTAGAGTATGAATATCGATTTCATAATCTATTTTAGGGAATATAGTTCGAGAAATGCTTTCTTTTACCTGCTCATGAAGTTCAGAACTTGGGTGATGACACTTTCTCAATCTAGTTAGTCATTTAATAATTGTAAACAAAACATATCATAAGCTGAAACCATTCGAGAGATTAATTCTTTTTGTGCAGCCTAGTACTGATTGGTAGTCAAGTGTTAAAGTTCGCAGAGTCATCAAGAAAATGTGTTGATACCTAGAGTCTGCAGCTATTAGTATGGGTTGTGTAGTTAATTATTGTCTCTGAAATCACGGTTTACAGGGTAAATATCACGAATTTATATAGGTTTTGGCTAATGTGGCTGAAAACTGCTGGTATTGAAGTTAACTGATTGGTAAATTGATATTAGTTTATCATATTTTGAAATAACATTTCTGGTATTCTTTTCGTCATATGACTTGTTGTGTCGGCTAGTATCTTTCGACGTCTTACTTTTCATTATGATGGGAAATATGCGGACTTATATATTTATACGTACTGATTGCATTCTCAAATGTTATTGATTTAGGCCTTCAGCTTGTTGATCCTCTTAGTAAGACGTGTTTCGTTGAGAGAAAAACGTTACCTACCTCACCAGTTAGAGATAGTGTCATCCAGTTGTTCAGTGTAATTAAGTTTTATGTAGAACTAAGTCAAGAATATATTTGTTAGTAACTACAGCATAATCGTTAACATAATTTAATTCAGGTAAACATAATGACGTAGCAAATCGGTAAAAAGTTGTGGTGCTACTGATTCTTAATGTGGACTAAAATGACCTACATTCCCCGTGACTTCGGAAAATTTGTTTTGTAAATAGCTTCCCACTTCATGAATCCCAGATAAATACGATATTTGTATCATGTTATGAATTCATAGCCCTAGAATGTTTTATTCTGAGAAGTACATATTTTTTATTTCATTGTAATATATTTATATATCTCCTTCCCAGTCTATCCCTTTACACGGAATTCTGCTTCTATTTATTTTAGTTCTATTGTCCGTGACAGTTAATCTCACCTAAACTTCAAAATGTCAGAAGCCCTACCTGGTATTGAAGATTTAACCAAGTTAAAGGTATAAGTAATGTGTATTTATTCCGTCTCCTGAAAGTTAAGTGATCTAAAGAAAATATGTAAAGAAAATAAACTGCCATCTACTGGTACAAAAACTGAACTGATCTCTCGCATTAGTGAGGTGCAAGGTAAGTCCATCACCCTTTTTCAAGAACACTTTTTATGTTAATGATAGAAAAATTTCCTAATGAATGTTGTATACATCTGTAAATGATCGTAGGAATAGTATCAGGCAGCATAAATGCCCTATTGTATAATGACAGACTGTTTGTTCTGTTGATATATTAAATTATATTCCAGCCCAATTACTCACTTAATCAGTACCCTATCTAATGTGCAATTGCTGTTAACAAAATACAGATCAAAAAGAGTCAGTTATTTAGAAATATGCTCTGATTATTATTATTTAAACGCAGAAAAACTTGGTACAATATGGCACCAAGAAAGATGCGCCACACAATATTGTGTGAGGGCTGAGATACTGCCCGGGCGCCCAGACCGAAGCAGGTGGTTTTCCTAAGGGACCACCCCCCGAGCCTTTGACTTGGAGTCTAATCCGCAAGGCAGCGGAGCATTGTCAGGAGCTGCGTTCCCATGGTTGCCGGTGACCCATATGGGTTCATACGCCATATGATCCGATTGAATTCTGGAGCCCATGTACCCCATGGTAACTGCTTTTAGTCTAACCGCTATCCAAACAACCTTCCTGACTGGTAGGACCTGCAGGGACATGAGTCCCAGCCAGTTTAGCTTGTTGGGTCACTGTGGCATTCAAGCCCGACCACTACGGCAAGGTAGCAGTTATCGGTCTGCTCTGATGAGCAATGTATTTAAGTAGAATGAAATGTTAAGGTTATTTGGGGGAAAGATTTTGGGAATTAACTGGCCATTATGGTTGAACTACTAATTCTGAGGATGTGCTCATTATCGGCACAAAAGAGAAATGTCCAAGCCTGGTTGAATACGTGTCTTTTTAAACAAAACTTAAAACACCTAAAGCATCCGAAGGCGAGCTGGACATTTATTCCGTAATTATTAAGTTAATTCAGTTTTTAATGTATTTATTTTAATCCAGCCAACATTGGAGTTAGACAGGGTTGCCCAACGTCTCCATTTCTCCTTAACTTTGCCATCAGTTACATGCTGGAGTCAGCTCTGAAGGATGTGCGTGGTGGTAGTGTAGGTCTGCTTCCTGGAGAAAGACTCTTTTACTTCGAATATGTAGACGATATCGTCTTACTGTGCGATAGCATGCAGGCTGCCCAAATAGCATTTAATCAGTTGGTAATCAGTGTCTGTAAATATGGTATACGTTTTGCGCCGTTTAAGTGTAAAGTACTGTTACAACATTGGCATGAGCCTGTAGTTGCACTCACTCTTCCAGGTGAACCACTTGAAGTTTTCGATAAGTTTGTGTATCTGAGTAGTTGTGTGAGTGCTGGCAGAGGTGTGATGGACGAGATTACCAACCGTATCATGAAAGCTAGGGTGGCATACGTCAACTTGAGCCATCACCTCTGGAGCCGTCTTGACGTTAGTCTGGCTGTGAAAGGTCGGGTATGCAGTACTTTGGTGAACGCTGTTTTATTCTACGCCTGCAAATCCTGGCCTCTCCGGGTGAGCTGGGGATGTGCGGCAACTCTGCGTATTCGATCATCGCCGTCTCCGTAGAATAGCTTGCGTTCGACGGTATCATCGTGTGAGTAATTTTGAGGTCCGGTGTTGTGTTTTTCGAAACAGCGGAGATCACCATCTGTTGGGTGTCGTCATCTGGAAACACCGGCTTCAGTGGCTTGGACATGTGATACAAATGTCATCCTAGAGGCTTCCGTACCAGACTCTGTTTGCTAGCCAGCCCTTGGTTGGGATGGAAAAAGCGGAGAGGTGGTCAGCCCTTGACCTGGCGTCGTGGGATGACTAATATTTGTGGTAGGTTAGCATCGGCTAATGCATCACGATTCCCTGGTTGGGGTCCGAGAGATAGATCGACTCGGTGGCTAGAGACATTGGATATGGCTTTCTGTTATAATTAGGCTTATTTCATCTATCGGGATATATAATACCATCTGTTTGTCTTAGGTCTAAGTAGACAGAATAGGCTTTGAAATCGATACTCATTAGTCAGAAGCATATTCGCTTAAGCGTGTAAATGAATAACAAAGGTGGTTATTGTTGTGATTAACTTAAGCACATAACAGCTAAAATGTGATCAATGGAATGAATTATTCCAACCTATGTAAAGTGTAATATTTGAATGCAAGCACATAACCTTACTCAGGTTTATTTAATTCTGAATCAGAATATGTCCAATTGTGTATGAATGACTGAAATTATTCTCTGTGTAGTTTCATATTTTTTGTTGTTTTTGAAGGATTGAATATCCGATTCAATAGACTTTAAGTCCGTTATTGTGCCATCGGGGTTTTTATGTATGAATTTGTATATAAATACATCAATTCTTTTAAAGGACACAGTCAATATATATTGGTAAAGTAGATCAGATTGTGTTTGCTTTCGTATATCTGAAATATTTTCTACTGACCTTGATTGATTGATTATTGATTCACTTGATCATGTAGTAAAATGTTTCCAATAGTTTTGAAAAATTTTCATGTTGTATATGCCGTAGACTTAATAAGTCCTCTAGAGCATTATGGTATAACTTTATTTTCTATAGTTTGGTTTGTAAGGGTTAGTTATGCTTTTACTAGTTGATCACAGATTGATATCAGTTAGAGAACCATTGAGTGCGTCGGTGGCATAGCGGTTAGGACGCTCGCCGACCATGCACATGGTGCGGGGTTCGATCCCCGGCCGACGCACTCCTTTACCTCGATAAGCCAGAAATAATGCTGGTGAAGAGGAAAGCTTGGGCATGAGGCTAGCAACCCGATCCTGTAAAATAACCACTGCTACAGAAACTTCAAACCGCTAGCTTGAAGCCCTATGTTCCACCGCGGAACGTGAAGCAAAACGAAAAGAGAACCATTGAAAACTACCAGGGAGTACTGGACAGTTGTTTCATCCTAGTTTGGGAATCATCGGCAGTACACACGGGGACCTTCCAGTTACAAGGCAAGCTCGTATACCATTCAGCCACTGGGACCCGATTCAATGGTATACGAGCTTGCCTTGTAACCGGAAGGTCCTGCGTTCGAATCCCAGCGGGTGCATACTGCCGATGATTCCCAAACTAGGATGAATCAGCTGTCCAGTACTCCCTGGTTTTCAATGGTTCTCTAACTGATATCAATCCGTGATCAATTCGTAAAAACATAACTTTACTTGTCTTAAATGTTTACTTTTAAGTTTTGCAACCATTTCTGCGAGCTTTTAAAGAAAATAACAGTGATTTATGTGGATTAAATCTCACTGTCATCGACTTATTCAAAACTACCTACATACCTCGTATCAAATTCACAATTTGCACCTGTCCAATTAGTCAACCAGGATTCGGGTGGTTCTAACTGATTCAGTTCTCCAAGTTGAGTTAAACTGGGATACATGGTTGATGAGCTTGGCTTCAAATAAGACAAATGGTCGTCTCGTCTGTTTGGATAATTTTGAACTGACTAGCAAGCATTACTTGTAGTTAGCAGTATCTAATTACTCATACCAATCGATCAATAGTACATGGCATCATGCACATATGTACCCGTTTTGCCCAATTGGTCATTTATTATTTGTCAAACCTCATTGTTAAGTGAAAGTCATAGTTCGTTAACGTTTGTGGCGACTATTGTTTCCGTATGAAATTCATTATAAATGATAATTAGTTAAAATAGTGGACGGAGAGGTTCACTTAAACTAAGGTATCCAATTGTGCGAAGATGACGATTTATGACAGTAAAAATGTGTAATTTTTTGTATCGGTAGTCTATAGACATTTATGTATGTATTGTGCATTAGCCAAGACTCGAGCTTTAAATCGTTGGCTTGCTGGTTGAATATTCTAACAGTAACAAGAATAATAACTTTTCTGATAAGAAGCAGTACACTGTATATAATTGGAAGTCTCTTTCTACTTTACTGATTCTAGGCAATATTCTTCAAGGTGCTATTCTTTCTCCTTTTCTGTTTTCTTTCTTCTTACATAACTTGCCCCATTCTTATAAAGCTTATTCTGTCAAGTATGACAAAGATCTGATTGTTTATATGCCCGTTGCTTCTTAGTCACATCGTTCCAAAATGAATAAATTTTTATCAGAAATTAGTCAGTGGTCCTTGTCAAATGGTAACGTGTTAAATCTCTCCAAATGTCAGGTTATTAATTTTACTTTCAGAAACAAGCGCCACCTACATGAACTGGTTCGCCCTCATGATTCTAGTATTATCGATGGCAATATAATTGAAATTAAGTCGAATGTAAAATACCTTGGACTGTGTATTTCGCTTGATGTTTCGTGGTCTTCCCAAATCCTGTTGGTTTCTAGAATAATATTCCGGTTAACGTTCTATGTTAGGAAGTTAAGACAATCTGGTATCACTCAGTCTCTACTTTTATAGTTTGTAAATTCTCCTATCCTACGTATTCTTCTTTATTAATCCTCACCCTAATCTTTCCTATAGTACTTAAGAAAGACTTTGTCACAGTGCAAAGGGCACTAAAAGCCCTCAATAGGGCGGGTGGGGTGTCGTTAGACCAATTTGTTAATACTTCTGTAGATAGGCATATTGACTCATGAAGGAAATTAGCGTATATTGAATTGTCAGGAGCTGAGCATCCTCTCTATACACAACTCTAGTTGTGTCTCATCAGGTAGGATTAGAAGCAAATATAGAAAAATATATGCCCGAGTGACTAAGTATAAAAACTCCACCTTACCTTATTTGGCTTACATTTTATGCGATAAGGAAAGTGTAAGGGATGAAACCACTAACTTATGGCGTAACACCAAGTAGACAGCCCTTTTGTGCTTTGTTTCATAAATATAGTGTTGTTAAGGTTTCAACTTAAATCTTAATTTTACACTCATATTCTTATTACCTTTATTGTGACTGTAAACACCCTCTTAATTATTTCCCATCTTACTGTGTAATGTAAAGAGAAGACTAGATGCACTATTGTATTATTATTATTATTGTTCCCTTGGGTTCCTAGTGGAACATAGGGCTTCAACTGCACGCC